GAGAGAGGAGAGAGAGGAGAGAGGAGAGAGGGGAGAGAGGAGAGAGGGGAGAGAGGAGAGAGGAGAGGAGGTAGGGTGAGGAGAGGAGGGGGTGGGGATGGGGAGCAATGGGGGCTGGCCGGCCTTCCCATCTCCTGCCCTGTGCTTGGGGTCTGACTTCCCGTGAGCCACATAAAGAGCCAAGATCAAGAAACAAACTCAGATCACCTGTGACCTCCCTCACAGTCCATCCAAGACAAACACAAGTGATGCTCACATCCACACACACACACACACTCACACACACACACAGCAGGCCCACCAACGCACACAGACACATAAACACACACACACACACAGACACACACACACAGACACACACACACAGCAGGCCCACCAATGCACACAGACACATAAACACACACACACACAGAGATGCACAGAAAGACAGAGACACAGACACACAGACACCAGATGCACAGACACACATACAGTTACACAGACATAGATGCACAGACAGAGACACACATACACAACACACACAGAGACACAAGCACACAGACACACAAACACAGCACATACACAGACACACAAGCACACACAGACATAGAAATACACAGACACACATATACAAATACACACAGACACAAATACACAGACACATGCAGAGACATACATAAACACACACACACACACAAGACTGGGGTCATTTCTTACCACCGCCATTGCTCTCAGACCTCGTGCTGCCAGATAATTTGCACAATTTCATGCGTATGAAGCATCTGTGTTTTACCTTCATCTTGGATGGAGGTTTGCAGGACGCAGAACAGTGTTCTGAAGTTAATTCATCATCTTCAAAGGAAAGTGCTAGCATCCTTCCACTGTGTCTGTGAAGTGAGTGTCTAACAGGCCGGGCAGGTGGCTCGGTGGTAGAGTGCTCGCCTAGCATGCAGAAGCCCTGGGTTCGATTCCTCAGCACCACAGACACAGAAAAAGCCAGAAGTGGTACCGTGGCTCAAGCGGTAGAGCACCAGCCTTGAGCAAAAGTGCCCAGGCCCTGAGTTCAAGGCCCAGGACTGGCAAAAAAGAAAAAGAAAAAGAACAAAAAGAAGTGTTTGTTCCTCTCCCTGGCCCTCAGCGTCTTCTCACCTGTTTCCAGAATCTTCCCTTGGTTTTATTCCTGTTTATTCTGTCCTAAGCCTTCCGTGTGTGCGCTGCAGGCCCGATTCAGCCTCCAGCCTCCTCCTAGTATTTCTAGACGCCTTCCTTTGGAGTCTGTATCACATTTCCACCAACAGTTACCTATTTTCCTACTTTATTTTGGTGTGTGTGTGTATGTGTGTGTGTGTGTGTCTGTCTGTCTGTCTGTACTGGGGCTTGAACTCAGTCTCACACTCTCACTTGACTTTTTTTTCCTTTTTTGTCAGTCGTGGGGCTTGAACTCTGGGCCTGGGCGCTGTCCCTCAGCTCTTTACCTCAAGGCTGGTGCTCTACCACTTGAGCCACAGCGCCACTTCTGGTTTTCTGCGTGGTTTATTGGAGATCAGAGTCTCACGGACTTTCCTGCCCAGGCTGGCTTTGAACCATGATCCTCAGATCTCAGCCTCCTGAGTAGCTGGGATGACAGGTGGGAGCCACTGGTGCTTGGCTCACTTGACTTTTTTTACTCAAGGCTGGTGCTTTACCTTTTGAACCACACCCCAACTTCCGGCTTTTTGCTGGTCCCCTGGAGTTAGGAGTTTCCTTGAATTCCCTTGATTTCTCACAAACGGACCCAAGCCATTAATGCCGGGATTTGCAGCTCAGTGAGCAAGACAGGGAAGCCCATTATTTTTCTGTATTATAAAAAATTCTTTTCACGCCCCTTGTTTCATAAACCTGTGTCATAAACTTGAGGACGTTTAAGGGTTGTTGATGACTATATTTATTACAAGTAACAGTGCATTTCATATCCTAAAGACACAGATTTCAGGAACTTAAAGGTTTTCTTCGATGAAGTAAAAAACATCCTCTTGGAAGACTATTGGGACTTCATCCCTTTTCTGCTTACAATTTGAAAACTTTAATCTCAGCTGGGCACCGGTGGCTCACGCCTGTCATCCCAGCTACTCAGGAGGCTGAGATCTGAGGATTGTGGTTCAAAGCCAGCCAGGGCAGGAAAGTCCAGGAGACTCTGATCTCCAATGAACCAGCAATGAAAAATAGTCAGAAGTGGAGCTATGGGCTCAAGTGGTAGAGCACCATACTTGAACGAAAAAGCTCAGGGATCGTGCCCAGGGCCTGAGTTCAAGCCCTAGGACCAGCACCAAAAAAATAAAAGGTGTCCAATAAAATTACCACCTGAAAATGGCAGGTAGCTGGATTTTGGAGGCAGACACCAAGATCTTTGTGGGACGTTCAGCTTCCTTGCTGGTTCTTCACATGTAACGTGCAAAGCAGGCTCAAATGCAAGGCAGTACTTGTGGAGGTGATGGGTGGGTGGGTTTGTCTGGTTTTCCTAGAGGAAATCAGCAGCTGGGCGCGGAATACGAAAATAAAAGTTTTATAGACTCTCCCGCCTGGGCTGGCATGGAACCACAATCCTCAGATCTCAGCCTCCTGAGTAGGCTGGGATGACAGGTGTGAGCACCAGTGCTTGGACTCTCCCGCGGTTCTTTAAAGAGGTTGATGAAGCCAGGGCGAAGACAAAGCTTGTGTGAACCTTTCTTCGTGTCTCTACAGGAGATGGGTGCGTGCTAGTCTTTTTTAAGTAGCTGGTGTGGCGTGCAGGCTGCAAGCAAGCTCAGAGCAGCTCAGCCCGCAGGGTGACATCTCACCTTTGAAGCAGCTGCAAATGTTTTTCTCTGTGGTGAGTCTCTGGACAAACCGCTGGGGTTTTCCATTCTGAAATAACACCCCAGCGCTGGCAGATGGGTCATTTCTTGAGGTCAAGATGATGGTACTCGGCCTCTTTTTTCTTTTTCTGTTTTTTTTTTTTTTTTGGTGTGTGTGCCCCTCCTGGACTTGAACTTGGGGCACTGTCCCAGAGCGTTTATTTTTCCCCTCAAGGCTATTGCTTTACTGCTTGCGCCACAGCTCTACTTTTGGCTTTGGTGGAGATGAGACTCTCAAGGACTTTCCTGCCCGGGCTGGCTTTGGACTGCGATCCTATCTCAGCCTCCTGAGTCGCTCAGCTCAGCTTCTTGGGAGTTGAGTCGCACCGTCTTAACGCTGGTACTACACTCCTGGTTATCACCTGCTGGTGCAAACTGGGCAGACGCTAGGGAAGGCTTCATTGGCTTCGCTTGCCAGGACACAGCGGTTCCCACACAGGAGGTGAACTCTCAGCTCTGGGAAAATGTCACCAAGAGTATTCATTTTAAAGAATGGGCAATTGGCAGCCGCCCATGGCTCCCACCTGTCATCCCAGCTACTCAGGAGGCTGAGATCTGAGGATCAGGGTTTGAAGCCAGCCCAGGCAAGAAAGTGCATGAGACTCTTATCTCCAATGAACCACCCCCAAACCAGAAGTGGAGCTGTGGTTCAAGCGGTAGAGCACCAGCGTGGAGCCCTCAAGGGGTGAAATCCAGCGCAAGACCTTGAATTCAAGCCCCACCGCCGGCACAAAAATAAACACAAAAGGTACTGAGGTTCAAAGTGGCATCCCTGCCAGGGGAGCGGAAGACGGAGGAAATGGAGGACAGAAGTTGAGATGTTGTTTGCTATTTGTCTGCCCACTGTGGCCACAGGAAGCAAGAACGAGTTTAGAGCCGTGACACTGTTGACACACAAAGAGAAGAGGGAGGAGAGGAAAGGGCTGACCCCTGAGCGTACCAGCAATCATTCTGCCTGGCACTCCCTCCTGGGAAAGCGGCTAGAGACTGCTTAGCCTAAGCCTGCAGTGCACGCCTGTCATCCCAGCTACTCAGGAGACTGGGGTCTGAGGATCACAGTTCTGGAGATTTTTTTTTTTTTTTTTTGCCAATCCTGGGTCTTGAACTCAGGGCCTGGGTGATGTCCCTGAGCTCCTTTCGCTCAAGGCTAGCGCTCTACCACTTGAGCCACAATACCATTTCCAGCTTTTTCTGAGTAGGTTTATTGAAGAGAAGTCTCACGGACTTTCCTGCCCGGGCTGGCTTTGAACCATGATTCTTAGATCTCAGCCTCCTGAGTAGGATTACAAGCATGAGCTACCAGCCCTCGGCCATTATTTTCATTTAATTAAAAGTGGACTCAGTTGGTAGAGTGTATGCATCGCAGGTATAAGGTCCTGAGTTCAAACTGTAGTACTAAATAAATAAATACATTTAAAAAATAAACCAGCACATAGGTAAGCAAGAAATTTAATTTGCAACGCTTCTGTACAATCTTGTCATGAGCTTGAACTCCGCCTGGGTGTTGTTCTCGGCTCCTTTTGCTCAAGGCTAGCTCTCTACCACTTCTACAGCTCCACTTCTGGCTTTGGCTGTGATTCCTTGGAGATCAGAGTCTCATAGACTTTCCTGCCCGGGCTGGCTTTGAACTGTGATCCTCAGATGTCAGCCTCCTGAGTCGCTGGGATTACAGGCGGGAGCCACCGGACGCTCGGCTGCCCTTGTCATTCTTACAAATGTATTTCTTTTTCTTGTTGCAGTTCTCACAAGAATAAACTTCTTCTGACTTGTAAGACTGACACTGTCGCTGCATTTCAAATTCAGGAGAAAAAGGCCTAAAAAAAAAGAAATATCATGAAATTTAGTAACAGTCAACCTCTGAGGTAATACAAAACCTTCATTTGTGTGTGTGTGTGACATTACAGGGTCTTGAACTCAGGCCCTAGGTACTCTACCACTTGATCCACAGCTTCATTCCAGCATTTTGCTGGTTCATTGGAGATAAAAGTCTCAGACTTTCCTGCCCAGGTTGGCTTTGAACCGTGATCCTTGGATTTCAGCCTCCTGAGTAGCTGGGATGACAGGCGGGAGCCACGGGTACCTTGCTGGGACTTACATCTTATATTAATAGAATTTTGTTGCTGTTGTTGGTTGTGGGGCTTGAACTCGGGGCCTAAGCATTGTTCCTGAGCCTCTTTGTGCTCAAGGCTAGCATTCTGCCCCTTGAGCAATAGTGACACTTGTTTGTTTTTTGTTTGTGTGTGTGTGTGTGTGTATATTTTATTTTGAATGGTTAACTGGAGATAAGAGTTTCATGGGGACTTTTCTGCCTGGACTGGCTTCGAACTGTGATCCTCAGATCTCAGCCTCCTGAGCAGCTAGGATTATAGGCGTGAGCCACCGGCGTCTGGCTTATTAACAGAATTTTAAAATACAATTTCCATGTTATTTACTGTAAGTTAGTGTAATTTCAAAATAAGAAGAAATAAATTTAAACAAAAGAGCCATCCCAGGCAGAAATGCTGGCAAAGTAATCCTCAAAATACTCGACAGGAGGTATGGTCCAAGTGGTAGAACACCAGTTGTGACCAAGAAAGCCAAGGGAGAGGGTGAGGCCCTGAGTTCAAATCCTGGCGCGCACACACACACACCACACACACACACACACACACCACACACACACCATACATACCACACAAAACACACCACACATACCACACATACATGCATGCACGCGCGCACACACACACACACACACACACACACACACAGTCTCTCTCTTTCCCTTTCTCTCTGTTAGGGGAATACTTACCCATTCAAACACAAAGCCTGATCATTCTCCTTCTTCAGTAGTCTCTGTTTTCCAGTGGTATTGTAGAACCCCTCAATCCAAAAGAAAGAGTTCAAAGAGAAGAACTTCTGGTAGTAAGAAACACAGGTGTAAAGTTCTTACTGTCACCTTATCCCCTGCACGGAATTACCTTTAAAGAATTAACACCAGCTGGCCATCACAGCTCACAGCTGGAATCCTAACTACGCAGGAGGCTGAGATCTGAGGATCAAGGTTCAAAGACACCCTGGCAGGAAAGTCCATGAGATTTTTGTAGCTCCAATGAACCAGCAAAAACTGGATGTAAAGGTATGGCTCAAATGGTAGAATGCCAGCCTTGAATGGAGAAAGCTAAGCAAGAGAGTGAAGACATGAGTTCGAGTCCCAGTACTCACATCTTTTTTCAAACCCAGCATCATACATATATATTTATTTGATTCCTTCGGCCCGTGTAGGGTGATAAATGCAAGACTATTTTAGATATCAGCAACATGGCAATGAAAAACACAAATTTTGCCAGGTGCCAATGCCTCTGGCTTGCAATCCTAGATGCTCAGAAGGCTTGAGATCTGAGGATCAAGGTTGGAAGCCAGCCTGGAGAGAAAAAGTCCAGGAGACTCTTATCTCCAATGAACCACCCCACAAATTTTACTTATAAAAACCAGAAATTTTTGCCCCTCAAGAGAAACAGAAGATGAATAAATGAGTGACAAATGTAGGGAAGGCAGTATTGGAAAAGGGCAGAAGAAACGGAAAAATTTTAGTGTTTAAAGAATAAACTTTTTTGTGTCCATGTGTCAGTCCAGAGGCTTGAACTCAGGGCCTGGGTGTTAACCCTGAGCCTCTCTGGGCTCAAGGCCAGTGCTCTACCATTGAGCCATACCCTCACTATAGATAACAGGTTCACAGACTTTCCTGGCTGGGCTGGTTTTGAACTATGACCCTCAGGTCTCAGCCTCCTGAGTAGCCAGGACTACAGGTGTGAGCCACAGGTGCCTGGCTGAATAATGGATTTTAAAAGAGATGGTTTCAACTCAAAGGATTTCAATTCAACAGTTCAAAAGTGGTAGAGCTCTAGCCTGGAGCAAAAAACAAAACAAAACAAAAAGCCTTAGGGACAGTGCTCAAGTCCAGTACCAAAAATAAATAAGCAAATAAATAAATAAATATTAATTATTTACACATTCCCTTTTCATGAAGTGAATTTTTCAAATATTCCTGCAAAACACTTCTCTGTTTCACACAATATATATATAGAGAGAGCCCTTCCTCTATGTTAATAGGTTATTCCTTATTTATTTTCTCCAATTTATTTACTATTCTGTATTTCTCCATTATTTATCTATTATTTGCCAGGGAAAATGGAGATAAAAGAAACTAGATCTTAGGGCTGGGAAGGTGGCTCAGTGGTAGAGCGCTTGCCTTGCATGCATGAGGCCCTGGGTTCGATTCCTCAGCACCACATAAGCAAAAAGAAAAAAGCCATAAGTGGCGCTGTGGCTCAAGTGGTAGAGCGCTAGCCTTGAGCTGAAGAGCTGAGGGACAGCGCCCAGGCCCAGAGTTCAGGCCCCACAACTGGAACCCCCCCCCAAAAAAAAAGAAACTAGATCTGCCCTTCAGCCATTAGCTAGACAGAAGGGAAGCAGGATTTCCAGGGCAGCATTGGGCGGATGAGGATTATGGGAACCTGCAGATCACCCCGCGGTTCCACCTACCATCTCTTCTCCATCCATGAGCAGGAGGCTGGAACTGCGGGCTGAGCAGGCGCGCTGGCTGTCTCTCCAGGTCAGCATCTCCTTGGAGAGGTAGTAACAGCAGCACCGGAACCAAACCCAGTGCTCTGGGCAAGAATCCTCAAGAAGCGCTAGACAGAGAGGCTGCGTTATTTACTGCGTCCACTAATTCTGACTTCATGAGGTATGAACCCCTCACCCTGAACTGGGTGTGGGGGGCTCTTGCCTGGAGTCTGAGGATGGCAGTTCGAGGCCCGGCCCAGGCAAGAGAGAGTCTGTGAGATCCTCATCCCCCACGAACCACCAAAGCGCTGCACATGGAGATGCGGCTCAAGCAGTGGAGCGCCACAGCCAGAGGAAACAAAAAACTCAGCGACAGCTCACAGACCCTGAGTTCAAGCCCCAAGACTGGCATAAATACATACATACACACACACACACATGCATGCATACATACACACATGTGTGCACACATATATACGTACACACATGCATGCACACACACGCACACCCATGCATGCATGCGCACACACATACGTACACATGCACCCACACACAGACATGCATGATAGGGAAATAGCCATAGCTTACCTTTCTGCTGGATCGCTGGTGTCTTTTCAGAAGACACTACAAAAGGAAATCAAACTGGCTGTTAGACCTTCCTTCATTGTCGCGCACACAAGCTAGCTGAAGAAAAGTCTTTGCTCAATAAAAACAAATCGGAGATTCTGGGTTCTAGACAAAGGAGACAATTGGGGGGCGGGGTTCAGGGCTTCTGCGGGGTTGGGCTCTGGGGAGCTGGGCCTCTGCTGATTCTCTCTGTGAGCTGGGCAGTGCCAGCTGGGGGAGGGGAGAGGAACTGCTCACGCTCTGCGGTGACAGCGGCCAGGGTGAGGGTGACAGCCATCAGGAGCAGGCAGGCGACAGCCAGGCATCCAGAGACAAGCTTCCAGGGGAAGGGCGGGGCACTCCCTGGGAAAGAACGGAAATCCAAAGCAGACTCAGAGGCAGAGGGAGGTCGGGTGCTGGTGCTCAGGCCTGCCATCCCAGCTCCTCAAGGCCGAGATCTGAGGATTGCTGCTGTTCAAAGCCAGCCCAAACCAGGAAAATGCAGGAGACTCTTCTCTCCAATGAATCGCCAAAAAAAAAGGCCAGAAGAGGAGGCGTGGCTCCAGTGGTAGAGCACCAGCCTTGAGTGAAAAAGCCCCGAGTTCAAGTTGCAGTAACGGCACTAAAAAATAAATACACTAAAACATGCATTTCTATGAGAATTATGAAATGCTTGAGGGTTATTGCCTTGGATTTTTTTTCTTTCTTTTCTTTGTTAGTCCTGGGGCCTGGGCGCTGTCCCTGAGCTTTTTATGCTCAGGGCTGGCGCTCTACCACTTGATCCACACCACCACTTCAGAATTGTTTATTGGAGGTAAGTTCTCACTATGGCATGGGCTGACTTTGAACCGAGATCCTCAGATCTCAGTCTCCTGAGCAGCTGGGATGACAGGCGTGAGCCACGGCGCCCGGCTTGGGTTTTCTTTTCTTGATTCTACCTTCCTGTTATTTATTTAAATTTTGTTTTATTTAAGAGAACTAAGCAGGACACAAACTGAGACTCAGAAATAAAAGCAACAGCATCCAGCCGGGGCTGGCCTCGAGCCACGATCCTCGGACCTCAGCCTCCCGAGCAGCCGGGATGACAGGCGGGAGCCACTGGCGTCTGGCTTCAGTAGCTGTTTTGAATCATTCCCTGCACGTTTAGTGACTCTGGTATTTTACCTTTGTCAGTGTCGGGTTCTGTTGTGTTTCTCTGGGTTTTGTGACGCTGGTGGTGCTTCCGTGGCTTCTCCGTTAGTGGCATTTCGTGTGAAGTAGTGACTCGCAACGTTTTTTCTTCCATGTGGGCGCGGAGGGGCTGGGCTTAAGGCAGGAAAAGCCACAGGCTCTAGTTCATCTTTACAAAGGACAAAGAAATCTCTGTGGGATGGGACTGGGCGGGTGGCTCAGTGGCAGAGCGCTCGCCTCCCATGCATGAAGCCCTGGGTTCGATTCCTCAGCACCACATACACAGGAAAAGCTGGAACTATCACTGTGGCTCAAGTGGTAGAGCGCTAGCCTTGAGAGCAAAAGACCTCTGGGGCAGTGCCCAGGCCCTGAGTTCAAGCCCCAGGACTGGCCAAAAAAGAAAAAGAAAAAGGAAATCTCTGTGGGATAAAGGTACAAGTATCACCTAGGAAAGGCGTATTTGAGCAACAATTAAACTTATGATTATACTTATTTATTATTACAATTATATTTAATGACTATAGCTATGATTATCTTCATTTATAAAGTGAAGGAATAATTTTTTTTTAATCAGTCGTGGGGCTTGAACTCAGGGCCTGGGCACTGTCCCTGAGGTCTTTTGCTCAAGGTTAGTGCTCTTATCACTTTGAGCCATAGCTCTACTTTTTGTTTTCTGGTGGTGTTGGAGATCAGAGTCTCACGGACTTTCCTGCACAGGCTGGCTTTGAACTGAGATCCTCAGATCTCAGCCTGAGTGGCTGGGATGACAGGTGTGAGCCATCAGTGCCTGGCTAAAAGAGATACTTTTTAAAAACTGACATCCATTACATAAATGCTCACAATAGTTTGAAGAATCAAAACTAGAAAATCATACCACCAAAATAATTAAAGGAAATACAATAATCCAAGATTTCAGTGTTATCTGATTAATATAGTGTGTGTGTGTGTGTGTGTGTGTGTGTGTATGTATGTATATATGTGTATGTTGGTCCTGGGGTTTGAACTCAGGGCCTGGGTGCTGTCCTTAGGTTCTTACACTTTAGCCTGATTCTCTACCACTTGAGCCACAGCTCCACTTCTTGCTTTTTTTGGTGGTTCACTGGAAATAAGAATCTCATGGACTTTTCTGCCTATACCGGTTTCAAATTGCAATCTTCAGATCTCAGCCTCTTGAATAGCTGGGATTATAGACGTGAGCCACTCACTCACGTCCAGAAAGACACTGGCATTTTTACACAGTCCCTCTATCTAGACTGGCCTCTGTCTCCCAAGTACTGGGGTTATAGGCATGTACCACCATACCCAGCCTAATCAAGTCTTATAAGTATTATTTAATAAACAATTTACAAAGCAATTATAGATATAAATAAAGCTCCCCAAATTGTAAGCCTATTACTCTCTGGTATAATGGCAGGTTTCATCTTGAAGTAGCAGGACAGGAAATTTTCTGCCCACACTCCTTGAAATCTGTCGCATGCTTACGAACCATGCTCTCTTAGAAGCTAGGATTAAAGTACACAGTGAAGCCAGGCACCAGGGGCTCAAGCCAGCTTAGAGGATCATGGTTTGAAGCCAATTCTGGGCGGGAAAGTCACGAAACTCTTCTCTCCAATGAACCAGGAAAAAGCTGAAAGGGGAGGTGTGATTCAAGTGGTAGAGCACCAGCCTTGAGCACAAGCTCAAGGACAGAGTGCAGGTCTGGGAGGGAGGAAGGGAGGAAGGGAGGAAGGAAGGAAGGGAGGGAGGAAGGAAGGAAGGGAGGAAGGAAGGGAGGGAGGAAGGAAGGGAGGAATGAAGGGAGGGAGGGAGGAATGGAGGAAGGGAGGAAGGAAGGGAGGAAAGAAGGAAGGAAGGGAGGAAGGAAGGAAGGAAGGGAGGGAGGAAGGGAGGAAGGAAGGAAGGAAGGAAGGGAGGGAGGGAGGAAGGGAGGGAGGAAGGAAGGAAGGAAGGGAGGGAGGGAG